AAATAAATAAATAAAAATAAAAAATAAAAATAAAAGCAGGGGGTGTCTAGTAAACATAATGTTCCTCATGTAATTGTAGATAAATGATACCAAAATAAAAAATAAATAAAAATAAAAATAAATAAAAGCACACACAAAAAATAATAATAATAATAATAATTTCACACTATGCTGAGGTAAACAGCTACACTGCCCCAGAGCTGAAGGGAGCAATGGTTTAGTATCTCAATACCCTTTGTGTAGCAAAGACTAGAAACCTACAAACTGACATTGAAAATGAGGACCTACCTAGTGTCTTCTCAAAATAAACCACCCAAAGGCACCTTTTCCTCCCTTTAGACAAAGTCAGCTTCAGCTTTGGTTTCATCAGCCACCGAAACCATGACTTCTGGGACAGTATGAGTTAGTTGGGAATGTTTATGTATGTGGGGGTCAGGGAAGGTTTGGAAGAGGAAAAAATAGTATCGGCCCATAGAAACTATGTCCACTATTAACATTTAAGCAGTAAGTAATTTGTATGTGTGGGTATAAGGATGCTCATAACAAAAGTTATGACTCTGAACTCTAATATTTATCACAAACCTGTTTAAGTAACTTCTGGAGTCTTGAAGTATTAGCTAGGGATGGGAAGAATATGTGTAAAGAGGAGAGACAGAAGAATGCATGAAGGCCTTTTCTGCTTTCCCTCCTACTTCTTTCAGCTCATACCGGCTGTACTCACACTGGACCCTCTGTACAAAGGGGATAAATAGCCCAAGGCCTCAGCTGTGGTGACTGATGTTCTTGGGCAGAGTCCTGAATTAGAGCTTAGTTCTTATATCTTAACAACCACAAGTGCTTCTCCCTAAACCATGACAGCTCTCTTGCTAATAACTTCAACACAGATCTGGGTCAATGGAGAGACACTGCCCCCTCTCTCCTCCTGCACAGATGGCCTAGGCCACTGTAATTCATATTTAGTACAAACAGCAGAGACTCCACCATGGAATCTTAGGGCTTCTTCGTTTCTGACAATCCAGCTCTGAGAAAAGAAAAATGATAAAGTAGGAGGAAAACTTGCCAAAAGAGATCTGGCCAGACCTGTTTAGCAACTACCTTAAGCCTTTCCGCAGATGCTTGACAACTTTCCTGAAAACTCTTGAGTCCTGACCCTCAGGTCAGGTTTTTATATTAAAACCAATGATTTAATATAAAAATTGTGATTTCTCCCAATAGATATCAGAATCTAGTCTAGCATTATAATTCCAAAATTAGAAACTAAGCACATACCTCTAATCGTGAAATAGGTTGAGGGCCAAGGCTCTCTTCTTCCACTGAAGTATCTGCATTTGCTTCAAGCTGCATTTGCATAGCCATTACTCAAGTGTTCAATACTGAAAAATACAGATGGCCATCAGTAAGAATACTTATTTTTACAACAAATCTCTGAAGAATTACTTGCCAGGTTTTTGGTCTAGTCACTGACCTACCCAGGGCTGGAAAAAACACAAATCTTTTACCAGCTTTCCCTTCTACATAGCTAGTTGCATCAGAATAATTTTAGGAAGAGCCAGACTACTCTGCTCCTTAAAGATGCACAACTTAACTACACCAACTATGTTCCCTTGTTCCCCTGCTTCATATTTATTGGTTGGGGACAAGTCTTATTTATTTACATGTATCCCATGACACATTGTAAATGTTAGGTGTTGGGAAGAATGCAGACTTTCCAGGACTCCACTTAAAAAAAGTTTGATAAAAGTTTAAATGCTCAGTTCCATTGTTCCCTTCCAGCAACTGTGGTCTGTGGGTGCTCAGCAGGGATGAAATCAAAGTACAAATGACTGCCTGGAAGCCTCCCCTGACAGAGGAACAGTGAACTGAAATCATAACTACTTCCCGTCTCAGGCAAGGATTATAGCTTGTAGTCATACATTTTGCTTCTAAAAGGAGCATATAAAATATAAAGATCGCCATTTAAATCAATTCCAGAACTCAATGAATGCACAAATGAATAAATAAGATGCAAGTACCCTGCTCAGCCTGAATCTTCCATACGAGCTTAAAGCCTATACCTAAAGTAGGTTATTAAGATAGAGCAAAGATTGCTCAGGTTGAAAAGAAAAACTGAGAACAAAAAAATTTTTATTCAAGAAGTATTAATTAGTAAAAGCAAATAAGCCTTAATGTCCACAAGAATAAACAGACTTGAACCACACCAAAACAATCTCAACAATCAAGATAAATTTAACAAAAAATAATAACAGATATGGAATGTCCATTTTTAAAGACTTGACAGAAGATGACCATTTGCTCTTGATCGGTTCAGGTGCAGATCTCTCAAGATGGCAGACTTAGCATAATGTGAGTCTGCAATACTTCCAAATATTGGCATCACTTGAATGCAATTTAAATGTAAACATCTCCCTCCACAATTTATGAGAAAGATGGTACTGCAGAGTAATAAGGAAAGGATGGTCTTTTCAATAAATAGAGCTGGGTTGACTGCAGAGCCTTAGAGAATACTCGGGGTTTGTGGGGACGTGCATGTGGGGCAGGGGTTTACAGAACAAAGAATCAACTTCCAATTTTGATCACAGCTCTAAATAGAATAGCTAAAACTTTTACAGTATAGGTGAATATCTTCACAATTTTGGGATAAAGATTTCTTGAACTGGGTACATAAAGCAATAACCAAAAAGGAAAAGACTGGGAAACTGGACTATGTACATTTAAACCTAAAACTTCCATCCATTCAAAGATACCACTAGGAGAATGAGAAGTCAGACTATAATGAGGGGAGAAAATATTTGCCACATATACAACCAAGGTTTGATAACGAGCATTATGTTACGAATTCCTTCAAATCAGCAAGAAAGACAGACAATCCAACAGAAAAAATAGGTAAGAGATTTGGAGAAGTATTTCACAAGATATCCAAAGGGCCAATAAACATGTGAAGAAATGCTGAACCTCATTAATAATCAGGAAATTTTAAATGAAAATCACTAGATATTACAATATATCCACCAGAATAGCTAGAATTAAAAAGACTGACAACATCAACTGTTGGCAAGCATGTGGAACAATGAAACACTCATACACTGCTGGTTTGAGTGTAAACTGGTATAACTAGAAAACTGGCATTAAATGTGAAAAGTCAACAATTGAAAAGCATTCAAGTGTGCACCAAAATGTAGGTTCTCAGCAGCCTTGCTCACAAAAGCCAAAAACTAGAAACAACCCAAATGTCCATCACAGGTAGAATGAGTAAAGAATACAATGTATCAACAAGAATTACTGCTATATGAAAAGATGTCTGAATCTACAGAATGTTGAGCAAAGCCAGACACAAAAATACAAATTTTATTAGCATTACATATTTAAAATTCAAAATCAGGCAATACTAGTCAATGGTGTTAGAGGACAATATAGTGGTTACATTTGGGGAGAAGAGGGTAGAGTATTAGAAGTGGCGGCGGTAAAAAGGCTTCTAGGTACTGACAGCACTCTATTTCTGGGCCCAAGTGGTGATTACAGAGGTATATTCCTTTTCTTATAATTCAGAGCTGTATACACTTTTTTCTACTGAAAATTAATTTTTTTGAGGTACATATAAAATGCATATATCTTAGTTTACCATTCGATGAATTTTGACGTGTAACTATCACCCATATCAAGACATCAAACATTTTCATTGATTTTCCTTACCCCTTCACCTATTTCACCCATCTCTCCATCCCCTACTCCTACAGCAACCACCCTCTGTTCTCTGTTTGTAAGCCTATTTATTTTGTTTTGTATACACTTTTGATTTATGCATTTTTCCATCTGTACTAACACTTCACTTTTGAAGAAACAAACAAAAAAACTCACTACACACATTATTCCCTAGGTATCATGTGAACGGTTTTCCGCGTTAGACAATGAAAATATCTTTTTGGCAACTAGAGGTTGGTACTTCGTAAGCAAAGCATAGTGTAACGGAAAGAGGTCCGACGAGAAATCCGAAAACCCTGGTTCTGACTCAACCTCTCTCTGGATGTCGGCTTCCTTGAAACGCCCATAAAATGGGTGTTGGAAATGAAGGCCTCTAAGGTTCCTCCCTGCTCGAAAGACTGGGGTCCGCTTGTTTTCTCCACAAAGAGCTCCGAGAGTCGTTTGGGCCCAGGCCTGCCCCACCTCAGTCCGCCATCTCCGGGTTTCTCGGCTGGCGCAGCGCGGCCGCAGTAGCCGGCTGCGGGTGCACCGGCCCGGCTCCGCTACGCGGGGACGAAGCCGGCGTGGGAAAGGGGCCGGGTATGCGCCTGCGACACTCACCTCGGCCTGCAGCGCTACTCGCTCG